TAGATTATTGCTATTTTGAAATAAGTTCTTAAACATATTTTTCCTAAAACAGAACAGTAAATAAAGAAGTAAATCAAACAATTATATCTTTTAGTTACGACCTTTGTACTCAGTTGCTGCTTGACGTAGGTTGATAAGCCTTTAAAAGTTGTGCACGTGGTGGATACGAAACAAAATTTATATATACATTTAAATAACTAAAAGATCATAAATTACTACATTAATGCCATAGCATTCCACTATAATTTATAAAACTTAGTAATTAAGATGTATTTTAATCTAAAAAGATATGAAATTTTGAGCAGACTAAAGACACACCCTACCTCATTGAAATATTGGTTTAAAAGAAAGATATGGTGCCGAGTCCATTAAAATTGCTGAAAAAGCCACCAGGGAGACATTCTGAGCTTCCAATTGGTTATTCATGTCATATATAAAAGTAAGTGTATATAAGGGAGTGTTTCCAAAAATGGAAAGAGGTGGGTGGGGTGCCATAGATTGATTTATTACATGAGCAATATCTTAGCAAATTGAAAAGATAAGAGGCTCTTATTTTATATTCTGTCTTGCCAATATTGGTAATTTGAGTTTCTAATTCGTTCAAAACTATAGACTTAGTATTTTGACTTCACAAACATACAGTTTGAACCAGTGCTGCATTCAACATACCATTATCTGTTTGTTTTTTTTAATATTTGCTTTTAAGTTAAGAAATTGAATAATATATAGTACTAAAATTTTAATTATAATCTACTTATTGATATAAGTTCATAAAATAGTAGTTCAATAAAATTTTGAATGTGAGTCAACAAATGAGATGACATGGCCTTTCACCCATGACCCATCTCGAAAGGCTTAAAAAACAAGTTGTAATTTTTAAAGTGACAAAAATGTTTAGTAAACATTAAGAATTTGAACTTCTTTACATATTTTCCTACTATGGTTAATGCATAGCTACATTTTTTTTATTATAATTAATTTATAAAACTCACTGTAGTATACGTAAATTATACAGAAATACTCATTGTATCAAAGTAACTTAGAAGACATGTTTATATTCATGGCATAAAAATCAATTTGGAGCCTTTTTTTATTTTAAATTTTGCTTTGAATTACTAATTAATGAATGCTGAATAATACATTTTGAAATTGTTGTGTGATTTTGTATCAAAAGTCAATTTCTTTTTTCAGGCTCTATGGTTTTAAGATTCATCCTCTTGCCTATCAGCTGCAACAGAAAGCAGCTGCTAATTTCAAGGCTCCAGTCCGGACAATGAGCTACAACAATGGCAAACGTTGACATCTGCTTTCTTTTAAATCATATTTCATATTATGTGTAGTTGTTTTTTAAGTAAACCATATTGTATTGTGTACTGTACAGAATTAATGTGATAATGACAATTAAATGTGTCATTTGTTTGTTTAATCAAAGGCATTGTAAGATTTTTAACTAAAGAAATGGATTTGAGTTCAGTCCAACGTGCAAATAAAAGTGTTAAAAGAATACCCAAGGTAATCGTTTGTCTGCATTTACATGTTTATTACTTCTTTATTCTATAAATGCTAGTACAGATTGGATTATACATCCTAATTACATTCAGACAGCATGAGATGGTGGTCTTGCAAGGTTTTGGAACTTACTTTTTAAAAATAAAATTAATTTTAAGTGTTTCTCTGCAGAATACGTTTTTAGAAGCGACACATTTTTAGGGAGAGAAGTAATCAGACCCAAAATAAGTGGGATTTTAATATTGAGGTAAATGTTTAATTGCATGACTCAAATCTCAATTCAAGTTGTGAAGGTTACAAAACAAAGAAATGTAATGTTGTTTATCATCCTTGCATACATTAGGTTGGCCTGTCTTTTCACCCGTTGTTTCTTCCATAACTCAATTTTGTTCCATTTTGATCTTGGTCACATGATGTTGGCTCACTCGGATTAGTGCTCTGACTAACTAAATCCCTGCTATTTTCACTTTATTGTCATCCAAACATTTGTCCAAAGTACCAAGTCTTTTGCAGATTTTAAGAAAATGGACAATGCTTTTTTGTTATCTGTTTCCTTCAAAACTTAAATCTAACATACTAATTGAAACTTGAAACCGTCAGTACTTGGTGAGACTCCATAATTTAAGAATTGAGGAAAAGCAAGACAGTTGTACGTTTCACAAATAGATCATTTATTGTCAAGTAGTATCTTTTACATATATTAGAACTCACTTCAGTTTTATGTCAGTATGAGAAGTTCTGATGTTTTTGAATATACTCCACTAACTTGCATCAATTGGATATATTATGATTCAAAATCAGATAAATAATACTCACTGATGATGCCTTGACTGGTAAAACCATGGTCGAAATACAAACTTACATCCCGTATATCTTCCATGAGATGGAACTATTAACATGAGGAATTTGCCACAAGAACTAAAAGTATCGTAATGAAAATCTCTGTTGATATGATGATTTTCAGCACTTGAGATAGTATTTTTTAAGTGGCAATATCATCAAATTGTAAAATTTAATTATGAGGTTTAAGAAACATCTTCAAATATCACAACTCTTTCTTTTCTTCATAAATCTTTCACTTGAGTTAGAAAAGAAGATACATTGTACTTTAATCTGAATTTAAACTAAGAAATATCAATAAAAATAACATTTATTTTTAATGACTTGATATAAAACTTACTAAACAGGTAGGCGTGGCCTGATGGCTAGCATGCTTGGACTGAAGGTTCATGGTTTGCATCCCATTTCTGCTAAAACGTACTCTGCACTTTAGGGTTGTGGGTGCTCTATAAACCTTACTCTTGAATCAGACAAAAGAGTCAGTGGTGTGTGCTGTTAACGATATGTCTTCCTTATTGTCAGTCAGCTTAACTTGGGAATGGCTATGTACAGATAGCTCTTTATGTAACTTTGCACAAAAAATTCTGAAACAAACAAGACTTTAAAATATATGTTTACAGCAATATTACTATCCATTTTTGAAGAATGGCTGAATAATAACAATTACTTTCTCACAAATGCATTGAAATTATCTACAATGTATATAAAAATTTTCTTACAAAAATAAAGGTTTAATGAATTATTTTCCTATTAAAATTTGTAATGATATTTATACAATTGTACGCAGGCTAGGTGGTTAGGGCCCTCGACTCGCAATATGTGGGGTGCGGGTTCTAATCCTCGTCACACCAAACATGCTCGCCCTTTCAGCCATTGGGGTGTTATAATGTGATGGTCAATCCCACTATTCATTGGTAAAAGAGTAGCCCAAGAGTTGGCGGTGAGTGGTGATGACTAACTGCCTTCCCTCTAGTCTTACACTGCTAAATTAGGGACGGCTAGTGCAGATAGCTCTCGTGTAGCTTTGCGCGAAATTCAAAAACAAACAAACAAGAGCTTAATTTTCTCTGTGAAATGTTTCATTAATTTACAGGAAATGCTAACATTTTTCAGTTTGTGAAATTTTTATTTGGACAAGTCATGTTGTATGTTGACAATTAAAAAGACTTCTTCCACATTCACCAAGCTGTTCTTCAAACTTTATTCTAGGGAACTTCCTGTTTTACGTAGGCTGGTGCATCAGGTGTGTATCAGTAGATTTAGGAAACAAACATAGCTTTTATTCTATTTCGTTACGTACTGATAGACTTCTTTTTTCCCAGTGGTCTTGACAGTGCTGTTCTGACTTTTTTATTACATCAAGCAAGGAATGGGAAAGGTCCAACAGGGTCTTTCTGATGCCATCTTGTTATTAAACTATATTTTTGTTAATGTTCTCAACCTGTACGTTTCCACTTATAACTTTTTATTCCCATATCTCTAAGATACAACATATATTACTTCACAACCAGCATGAGGTTTCTAGGTAAGTTATGCCTTGATCGTGGGTTATAGGCCTGTTCAAAGGTGAACTTTGTACTGATAGTTCACAAATAACTAGCTGAAACATGAGGAATCTAAGATAAATGTTGGATGTTGAGGTTAACGAAACTCTTTCAAGCTGATAAGCAAGCTAAGCTGGAGAAATAATTAACACTGTAGAAAAACAGTAAATGTAATAATTCTGCTTCTATTAACATACTTTAGTAGATTAAAGAACTTAAATTTTACGTTTTTATACTCGAAAAGATAAGTTATCCTCAGATTACTTGTTAAACTTAGCAGATCCCACCCATGAATGTCATAGTTGGCATTTGTGGCTATTACAGGGCGTAGCCAGTATATTTCGTTTCGGGGAGGGGGGATATACCTAGATTAATACCCCCCCCCCCAAAAAAAAGTTTACACTTCCAACGTTCCGTTTGGTTTATATTTAGCATAATTAATATTTTACTTCTTGGGATAGAAGAAATTTCGGGAGGGGGCATCCCTACCTCCATGTCTACAGCCCTGGGCTGTTATATAGGGCAGGTAGCACTTAGTGTGAAATTATGTAGGTGAGCGCAAGATGTTCCCTTTTCAGAAATTTCACCTTATTGTGATTAGTTGCATTTAGAGAATTATCGCGAAGGGTTCCTAACTTTTGTTGCCATTTTGTTCTCCAAAGTTTCGAGAAGAAGGTTAACATAGAAACTGCTATAAATTTTTATTTGCTCTACTGGTAGTTGGTGTATTTCTTAACTTCGCGATTTGTTCCTTCGGCATTATTTTTAATTACTTATTAACTTTATTCGCATTCAGGAAAGTTTTAACTTATCATTTGAGTTTGTTCGTTTGTTGTGTTTTAGTGCAAAGCTACATAATGGCCGGTCTGTGCTCTCTCCTGTATTTTAGCGTTGTAAGTCCGTAAACTTACCGCTCACCAGCTGTAACTTGTCTGAGAGTGCTTGCAAACGTTCAACATGTTATTTTTGTTTTATTTTATTTAAATTTAAAAATTGTCCTAAATAGCATCCCCCTAGTGACACAGTGGTAAGTCTGCAGACTTATACCGCTAGAAACCGGGGTTCGATATCCGTGGCGGGCAGAGCACAGATAACACTTTGTGCTTAATAATATAAATCAACCTAAATAACAGCGTTATTCTTTATCTTTTCTCGGTCTTGCATAACTGATTAGCTTTACTGGAAAAAAGTAGAGGAGGAGGCGATAATGTTGAGTGTTTGAAGGCTCATAAATCATTATTTCTTATATATTTTCCAAAAACATTTTATCTCATATAGGCTATCGCAGACTCAGTGGAACATAAACTTACCCAATAATTAATAAGACGCAATGTAACTGATAATTGAATAAGGTAAGGATAAATTTAAGAAACGTTTAATAACAGTCATATATAATAACAAATTAAAATTATAGATAAAATATAACTTCCCATGCCGGGAATCGAACCCGGGCCTCCTGGGTGAAAGCCAGGTATCCTAGCCACTAGACCACATGGGATTAAGTATTAAAGATACTTACAATTTATATATTCTATTATATATTGTGTCAAATATCTATTTTATATATTTTATTATTATAATGTACTAAAATTAAGCATTTTACTAGTTTGAACGTTTGGAAGCTAAAATCTATATTGTACAATAATAAAAATATAAACGTGACTCGTACTTTGTTTATTCTTACTCGGCAATACCTACGACACGTTAAATCATTTTCCAACGCACAAACTGTATTCAAACACATATTTCCTTTTTATTTAGAATACTAATTAATTTGATAATACATAGTTACACATTTATTTTTTATTGGCTATGCAACATTTCTTGATTCCATGATGTAAGTAGGAAGATACATTTAAATATATATATTACGATACTCAAATATGCACCATAATACTCTTTCAACATACTTAGATATGGAGGTAAGAAAACACTGACCTTCATCTTTGTAATGTGTATTAACCCATTAATTAGCGTATGCCACAATGTTCCGTCGTCCTAAAAGCAAGAAAATAAATATTCAAAACTAAACTATTAAGTATTAATGAAAATATATATTGGCCTAAGCCCATTTTTTATTGCATTGTTTTAAGACATTGGTCCAATGTATTTAACTTTTAACGTAATTAAGTTATGTACGTGCGATGTAATACGTAAATCTATTCACTATTAATAATAATACTTTGAGCTACTCACGTTGATAACTTGCTTTCTCATACACACAAACACCTCCCACCCTCACAAATAGAAAATTAATAAAAATAACCAAAAACGATTATTTTAACTTTAACAATATATAAATTAGCTACTGAATAAATGATAAATAAATTTAATTTCACGAATACAAAAAACAGTACTTATTGGGATCAAGTTTTGAGAAACATGTACCCTTAAACCACTGACATCATATAAACTATAAAACCGTAAAGTGTTGTTTTAAGCTGTATTTTCTTTAAATATTAGAAAGACCGACGTTTTTAAAATTCACAGAAGTTTTTATCGGTTATACTAAGTAAAACTAGTGCGTATTTTCTTTGTTTTAATTTAGATGTTTGCTAGGGGGAGCAAAAGGTTAAGACCTAGTAAGTACCGCAAAGATGTCGATGGATACTTTAGAT